GAGGAGCCGAAACCATGGCCGAAGAAAACCAACGGTGGCTCCGCCCATCATTACCCACACAAACAGAAACACCTCCAGAGTAAAGGTAACGGCGCTGGTGGACCGAAAAGCTGGGGTAATGGCGCTTCTCAAGTTTGGCCTCGTGGAACGCCGTCAAAACACTCCAAATGGAGTCCAACGACTGACGGGGAAGGCGCTCATATTGAGGCTACGGGCCCCGGCGACCATCATCACCACGGCCCCGCAGGCTCCTCATTGAACAACGGATGGCTGGATCTCCAGAAAGAGCTCTACCTCCTGAAGAACAAAGTCCGGTGAGTTGTACTCTTTGCGAACCCCGGGAATCTCCTGATTGACTATACCCGCTCCTTATTGATGGATTGACTGATTGATATTCCGCCTGATCGACGGGGATCCTTCATCAGGGGTAGAATAGTTAAAAAATTGGATATGGATTGGCGGGGCAGACGCTCTAACGTGGGATTGTTAGGGTCTCCAGCAGCAACGGAGCATGGCCCACAACGGCGAAGGAGGGTAACGGCAACGGCTGGAAACAGCCATGGAATCAGGACCAGGAACCCTTTTCTTCAGCGACGAAGATGGTGACGAAAGTCGTTTTCGCTGAATCGTTGCCGAAAGGAGAGAAAATGGTCATGAGATGGACCCCTCCCGTCTCGTATCAGGTAACGAACTAGCCGTCTGAATTTTCGAGATCTTCATGCGGGACTCCCCCACTGAACCTCAGGGGCTCCGGGTCGAAGCGCGAGAGGAGTACGGGCTCGAGCTGCGGGGAACCACTGACACTAACATCAGCAGAACGTTCGTGATCATCCACTCGGTTTGACGGTCGTCGGGAACGCGCCATCGCGTGAGGCAAACGGAAGTAGAATCTATTTATGTCAGTCTCTGTCTCTTCATGTATAGTACTAGTTTGGAATGTAGCTAATATATGACTCCGATCGGAAACCTTATGAAATATAACGGTATTCAGCCTTCGACCTGTCGGACCCGTGCAGGTCGAGGACTGGATTGACCTCAAAGAGGAACAGCCCTATTCGCAGCTAATAAGTGTAATGACGACTTTGTTCCCGCTGATCTATGCGATAGGATTCACTGTATAGAGAGAATCGCGGGATACGAGTGGCGAGACGGAGTCGAGCTGGATCTTAGCTAATCAGGGATTGGTTCTCACGCTCGGAACATTGGATAATTCTCAAAAAAAAAGTTAATAAAATTATGGGCGTTCAAATGTAGATGTAGTCTTCACTCTCGGACCCCATTCTCTGTCGACGCCGTCCTGAAAGAAAAATCATCATGCTTTCGCGTCTGCACCTGTACCCGCGACCGGCGACGATAACCCGTCGGAAGCATGGATGACCGTTTTGATAGGGAAGTTCTGTGGAAAATCCCAACAATGAGGCACTCCGGTCAGGACTCGTGGCGCGGGAAGTTTTCCCGAGCTTGTCTCATGAAGCGCGAAATCCGGGCGGGCGGAAGGAGATGTCGGTTACCGCCCCTTTTTCTCAGTGGAATACCCTATGTCACAAGAGCCGAACCAGAGCGCTACCTCCACTGTTTAGATACCTAACGTCGGCAAACTCTGACATGAAATCCCATCCAGCTGGTATACGCCAGGTTGACGAACGTAAGCGGACGGTTGCCGACGCGGATCAGATAACTGAGCACTGAACTTACCAAACATAAATCCAGTGCCGCCCCGACGGGCTTTGGCCTCGCTTCTACGAATATTAGTCAATGCGTGGTAAGTCCGTTGACGCAAGGGGGAAACCCCCAAGGGCACTCTCGGAAGAATAATTCATCTTTTTCTACCTCCCGAGCCCATGACCGAATTCGATCGATCGCATGAAGCTTATCGATGGAGCGTAGGTCAGGGTGGACCCGAGATGAGACGAGTCCGTACGTCGGCGTCGCGTCGACCACGGGGTGGAAGCACAAACCAGGGAGATGATGGCGCAAAAATCAGGGAAACGCTAGATTGCGATAAATGGATGGGACGAGGAAGCTCGCTTGCAGGGGCCGTAGAGATTCCAGGATCTGTGATGGAAGGTGGAGGTGCTGGTAAAGCGCGGGAAGCACCGTGATTCCCGGGAATCAAGAAAAAATAAACATCCTGCGCTGTCGGCGACTCCGGAGTGGCTTACAGCGGAAGAAACGCTTCTCCTTCATTCCACTCGCATCAATCGCGGAATGGGGAATATTTTCTCTGACGTTCTGGTCGTTCTAGCTCTCGCTAGGACCTTCGACAAACAGAATCGCACATTCGACCGTCGAACAGACCCTCGATGACCCGAACCGAATCGTGAGTAATTCATGCGTATAATCCATCGTCGAAAGATAAATTTCCTCCCGCGACCATTGTCACGAGCAGAGAGGCGCCACATGCAGTTTTCGGAGCACCGCGAAGTCTACGACCGATAGCCTCCGAACGGGGGAGCACACTCGAAGCAGTAGAATGGCAGTCCTTACTCATATGCCAATGAGGCCAGAGGCGATCTAACGACCCTAAGGTTCATTTCATACGTTTGATCGCGATGGAATCGGCCGGCAGGATCCGTGATGGCATCGTCGGGGAATCAATTTGCTTCGAGATGAAACCAGAACGGACCCACGATCGACTCGGGAGCTGTCTCTTTATTGGGGAGGGGCATAATCATTGCAGCACGAACAAACCTCGAGAATGACTGGAATGCCTGCGAACAAGATCTCACGAGGAAGCCTTGCTCCCTGCCTGGATTTGTGAGGAATTTCCTCGCTATCCTGAAAGAGTGCTGGGAGCACGCTTGCGCCACCCTGCGGATGCTCCTGGCAACCAGGAGCTTTGAGGCGCATCGCGCGCCTTTCGAATCCGTGCGACCGGCTCGCGAAGCTTCTCAGTGATTTCTTGTTAACCGAATTTCTCCTCGTTTCCGGAGGTTATCGGATCCAGCTTGGAGTGGCGCTATAAAATTTCCCGCGGGAAGGCGTTAATTTCCCGTACATCAGCAAAACCTGCCCACGGAGCGGGTTCGCGAAGTCGTAGGTCCCCCCAGCTTCGTCCGAGGTTGGTGATCGTCTGACATCAGTTGCTTACGGCCCGATGGGAATGTATACCGTATACCGATTGACCTAGGTCGTATGAGCATTTCACCGTTTGATTCCCTTGTGAGATCGAACTCATCTGAGGCTCAAGTAGGGGTTGGTGTCTCTCCGCCACCTTGTGAGATCCCTGGTTCCTTTGTCCGCTCCGATTTTGGTGGTACCCGTGGATCACCACCTAGACCGGAATAATCGACACAATAGCTGTATACGGATGTTTTCGATGTGAATGAACATGGAAATGACCTGGGACCCGTAGGGCCCAGAAGATGGGGTGGGGACGTCGTTCTTGGATCGAAAGCCTGGGGGGAGCCGAGGTGACGTCAGCTGCGCATGCGCCCTCTGTGAGGTCTGTGCATTGGTCTATGGCACATATTTGACTCCAAAATGGTGGACAGCAATGTTGGCTCTTGGGAGCTGTGTCGTGAAAGCCGCGACGTGCTGTAAGATACACGCGTCATTCAGCGGCGTGCAGTAGCCGTTCCGGGCTGTCCAGCCGGACTATCCGAAGCAGGATATTCGGCTGGAAGCGAAGCTGAATCGGTCTTCGAATCGAAAAAACCACCATCACCACCATAAGTAACACCACAACCTACACCAGTATCATCATAGACCAACGAAACAAGTAAGCCCGCGCGCCAGCCAGACATCAGATCGGCCAGCAAGACCCCCAGCCAGCTGAGCAAGCCATTTTGAAGCAGAGTTTCCCGGAGAGAGCATCAAGCAACCCAAATCGCTGGGGTGTTGTTGTTGTTTTGCTCGCTCCCCAGGAAAAATCCCCAACATCGACCAGCTAGCGAGGGAATCAGCTAGAGAAGTGACCGGAGCGATTCCCAACAAATACGAGTGCCGCGCCCAGCAGGATAGGCGGGACTCCCGAACGAGGACGAGTCTGATCCCGCGGATCAGCCAGGTTGGCTGAGAGCAATCACAACAAGAGAGAAAGGAAGCGAACAAGTGCGCGCTCCGAATCTTTCCATCGAGGACCTCGGCGTTCGACGTTGACGTTGTTCGAGTCCAGTCCGACGCCGGAGCCAAGTGGGCTTCGAGCGGGGCGGGAGGTGAAGGAAAAGCAGGAATACTTCGACGACAACGACGACGATAAGCATTACGACGACGACGACATCTCCAACACTATCGAAACGACGACAGCAGCGGATGCGACGACAACGTCGACGTTGAACATCAGAGACGAGAGTCCAAACAGCTGCAGCGAGTCGAGCGCCCGTCGCCTGGAAAACCACGCTCGAAGCGATTGAGGTCGACGAGCTCCGAAGCTCCGGAGCTGAATTGAGGCAAACTCGTTTCCTCTTCCCGACATCAACCCATATCCCTCCGAGTCCACACGAGCGGGTCTCGCCGACGACGAGAGTGCCGAAAAGCGCTCCTCGAGTCGAATCAAAGTAGAGCCGGTAGTGAGTGATACAGTGCAAGTGTGGGCAAAAGTTACCCCGAACGGAATACCGAGTCTAGCTACGATGTAGCTCGCTGCTTTGCGGACGGGGACGCCACACCGTGCCGTGTGGAAATGGGTTCGTCATGTGTACGTCGCCACGCGACCCTCACGTTATCGTGAGATTGGTCGCTCTGGCCGAAACTACTCGCCATCTGCACATTGGTGGGCGCCTCCGCTCCGTGCGCATAGATGTCGAGGAACAGCCGCCAGTTATTCGGCGAGCTCGTGGGAGAGTAAGAACGTGGAACAGTTTGTACAGTTCGTCGAGTGGGCGACCGAAAAAAATCGAGAGTCTGGAGCTTAGGAAGCTCAGGGCCATCATCGAGGCTGGCCACAGCCGGAAGGCCCCACCTGAGGCCGAGGCCGAGGCACGAGGCTCTCTGGCTCGAGCCTTCCGAGGCTGACCAGAGGCCTCACTTAACAGCGACTCGCTCGCGTCCTCGAGAGGATGAGCAACTGTTTGGCCGGTCCCGGTGGTACCCATCCCGACCTCAGCCACCTGACCGCAGAGGAACGCCTCATCATCCAGGGAGTCCTCGCCCGCCAAAGGGCTGAAGAGCAGAAGGAACGCGATCTTCTAAAGTAAGTGATTAGGCTATTTATTATCTATTCGGAGATTCCGAGGAAGCTTGTCGGCGAACACTCGCCCGACGTACGCTCTCAGAATCCTTGGCGAGATTGGCAATTTTTCCGCATGATCGAGGAAAGCTCTCGCTACAAAATGGTTCGCCTGACTCCTGATCTGCTGTGATCTTCTCATGCCTCCGCCCGTGTTCGCTCCCCCATCCCTACGCGACAGCGTGAGACTTCTAATTCCGAGCGCAAATGATCCCCGAGATCCCTCGAACCAGAATGAGTGAAGACCGGGTACTCGAATCGGAAACCACCCCCCACGATTCTGTGTTCTGTCCAGGACCACCGCCAACTGGACTTCCCGAAGCTGGTATATCCGGCACGGAGGAGAATTTCGAGCGAATTACGTACGCGTACGTTCTTATGCTCCATTGGAACCTGCAGAGGCTTCATGACGCGGACGATGCAGATGGAAATATATGTAGTAAACGAAGAGATGAGGAGAGGGAGTCGCCCACTCGCCAGCGTCAGAGGAAAAAGCATCGAAAACGCGTAGATGCGTTGCAACGGGGCCCCCATCCACGCTTTCGGCTCCGAGCGGCGACACCTCTGATTGTAAGCGTCGGAACCGTCGCGAGTCATTCAAGCTGAATGAAAACTCGGTGGACTCGTTTGCAGAAACGGTGGTCAGATAGGAGGAGAAGAGGTGACGTACTGGAAGTTGATATGAGGAGCTGGATCGACTTTCGTCGGCCGCCGGCACGAGTTTCATTCAACGATTCTTGAGAGACCTCAGCGGAGTCTCGGAGATGCGCTCTCCATCCCGACAATTCGTGATTCTCTATGAGTCGTAATCCCTAGCGATGTCCGAGACTTGACCTCAATCCGCGCGTGAGCTACTTCTTGAAAGCCTCCACGAAATCCCGTAAATTCCTATCAATAGAGGGTGATGATTATCATCTTCGATTGAGCACGTGATCAGATGTCCCGATTCGAGAGCGTCTCCACTCCAGGCCAGCAAGTCACTCCTTTTAGCGTCGTCGTTTGCGGAGCTGAATTGAGCCATTCGCCATGGCTCAGCTCTCCATCGATCAATGACTGATCGGGTCTTCTTCCTTCTGTATCGGGCGGTTATTCTGTCAAATTTCACTATTTGATCTCGAATGAAATGAATTTAAATCCTCACGTAGGAGTCTCCCAGGGTTTCTGATCTCTCCCTCACTCGTCATCGGCAGAATTACCCCCTGAGAAAAGTAGAAGCTATTGCACCAACGACTGAGCTATTTCACGACCGCGCACGTTGACGCGAAATGAATACTAATCAATTTACTGATTTCAGACGAGAAACCGACCAGGTTAAGCAGCTAGAAAGTAATATAGTAACGAAGATTGGCCAGAATGCACGGAATCCACTGGAAATGCTGCTGGGGAGTGCGAGCAACCAACATCAGCAACAACAACAACAACATCATCATCACCAACAACAACAACAACATCAACAGCAATTACAACAACATCAACAAGCACAGCACATGGGACCTAGTGGCATGGGTCCCCACATTATGGGACCACAATCGGGGAGCGCTTCTCAACAGGCGCCCCCCGCGACCTGCCAACTTTGCCTCAAGACCAAATTTGCTGACGGTGTTGGACATATCTGCAACTACTGTAATGTGAGTTCCGGAAAGTCCCGCACGATACGATCTCATCATATATGCACGAAACGAACACAGGTCCTTACCACGACCTACAATGTGGGCATATTTGATTTTCCCCTAAGAGAGCTCTCACGGTCCTGCTGAGTATCTCGCGACGCAGCGCTTTCGAGCGACGGCACGGCGTTTGATTCTGTGTATCATGATCTTCATACCGATATCCGTTGTTCGCCCATCGACCAGCGAAGGGTCCCCTGCCGCTTCCGATCAAAACAAATACGCTCCGGCTCCGCACAGGTTCCATCTACGAAAGTTCTAAATCGTATCGTGATCTCCAGCCAGATGAGAGACTTTTGTCGCGCAGACCTGTAGGCTCCTCTTCTTCCCTCTATTCGCGATGAGGTTGGCGTTGCAGACGGCGGCGGCGGCGACGACGACGGCGAGTCTATCGTCGCCACTGAGTCTGCCATCCTCGGCCGACCTAATCAAAGGCCACTCCCAGTTGCCAGGGCCCCCTCGTACAAGCACCGTCCATTCGCTGCTTGCCCAGGTCCTCCATTCGCTCGTTCGTTCGTTGAAGCCTCAAGCACCGTTATAAATAAACTGCGAGCATATGAATCGAGTCCGCGGAGGCAATCTCCTCGCGGATCCCCCTCAAACCTCCCGGAGATCTCACCCGCTATCCACGGAAGTCGATCGAGCTCACCATGAATCGGCATTCTTTCTTTTCCTGGACGATTTCGGGAAGGTTCCGAACCCACGCAGCGGTTCCCGATCGATCCAATGGATGAAGCCTGCGTCGATCGTTCATACATCTCCGAACCGAATTAACTGGAACGAGCGCTTTCGCTTTCGACGCGCATAGCTCTTCATTCACGAAAGTTCACTCGGTGTACGGAAGCGGGTCGACCCGGAGGCTTGCCTTATGGGCGATCGTTCAACAATAAATAATGGACTTTTCAAAAAGCAGAGAAATTTGAAAGCTACTAATTCGGCCGATTCCCACTAATAGATTTGACGCACGCCATACGGAGCACGTGCTCCTTCTCAAGCAATTCCTCCATCTCAGTGCGGAAACTTCATGCCACCTTCTCAATGCGTGACCGTAATGGGCGCTGTTGGCCTTTTCCAGGTACGATGTTGTGCCCGTTGTGGAGGGAAAGTGAATCTACGTTCAAACAAAGTAATCTGGGTTTGTATCTTGTGTCGCAAGAAGCAGGAATTGCTCATCAAAAGCGGTCAGTGGATCAATCAGCCACTGAACGCCATGGCCACAAATCCGCAACAGCAACAACAGCAGCAGCAACAAATGAATCCACAACATTCGATGTCGGTTTTGCAACGGGCACGCTCCGTAGAAATTCCATCTGGAGGGCCGTCTTACATGGGCCCCGGGATGGCGGGAAATGCTGCAGGTAAGACGAAATGTTCGGAAGCCTGAAATCCCCATGTCCTTTCGGGAGTACATATTGGTTGGAAGTATCTATCGCCAGGGCGAAGCGATAATGATGTAATCATCACTGCTCTAAACTAGAGTCCCCTGAACACGCAGGTATGGGCACGTCCGTCAGCGGCGCTGGAGGATTGTGGCGTGGGAGGATGGGCAACAGTTTCAACGAATATCAGGACCCCTATCAGCAGCAGCAGCAGCAGCAGAACTTCAATATGATGCTGAATCAAAATCAAACGAATCAAATGGGTTTCGGGGGATACAATGCGGCCCAGAACAGGCGAGGCGAGTTCAGAAGGCAATTATCGGCTGGTGAGTGTCTCCTTATCGATCCACTAGTAAGGAACATCTCCTCACCATGAGCTGCACAGATGCCCAGCCATGGGGATCCGTCGACACCGATGCTTTTGTGAAGTGCAAAAAACAATTTCTGCATCTCCTGAATGTTGGCTTAATCAGCGGATCAGCTAGCGCAATGTCCTCGTCGGAAGGAGGGAATACATGTAGATCCGCTTCACATCAGTCGCTCTCGGCGTCACGACAGCTCTCGTAGCTCCACTCTATAGCAATCGCACTCTGTCTCCAACAGGTAACGCTGAGTACGGGGCTTGCTATCAGCAACAGCAGTTTGCCACACAACCGCAAATTGCACAAACACAATCGCAGCAGAACTTGACTCAGCCTAACCAAGGCGCCTTCGGAATGCCCCTGCTCAAAAATCCAACAAACCTGTCGAATTCCTTTCAAAACTTGTTCTCACGGCCATTCGGTAAGTTCGAATGTCGAACGAGATCTCCGCACCCCCGAGATTTTGGAGTGAAGCTCTTTAGTATACGATGCGCGACGCCGGAAACCCACCGATCCTCGGTCGATTCGCGGCTCAGACAGAAGATCTAAGCCTGGTACTCTCGATTGCTCGCAGGGAAAGGTCAACTACAACAGCAGCAGCAGATGCAACAGCAGCAACAGCAGCTGCATACGCAAAACTATCAACAGCAACAAATGGTCGCGATGGGTTCTCAAGTTGGGATGGGGTCGGCTGGCATCATCGATCCAACGTTTCCGCAAGTTCTTGGCTCCCATCCAAACATTACCGGTGGTGGTAACTCGTCTGGATTAGGACCCGGAAACCAGTTGGGCATCGCGAATGCTCGCACGAGGGGCGGTATGCTGAGGAACGACTCGCTGAGTTCAGACCAGTCTTACACCGAATCCCACCACATGCATCAGCACCGTAGGAGACACAGTAGGAAGCTAGGCAAGAAAAAGAAGAGGTCGTCCACGTCAGGCATGACAGCAGGTAGCGTGTCGTCCGCAGAGCAGTTGGAGACAGAGCGGGTGTCACGGGTGTTGAACCGAAGCGACGTGGCCGATTTCTTCTCTTGATATAGACTCCTAATCGACTACAATATATAATTTGCGAATCTCCTCCCGATCGATGGATCCATCGATCGATCGATGAGGCCATCTGTGGGAGGACGAGCGATTGCAAGGTCGACTAATTGAATGACTGAATGATTCAATTGATTGATGATTGTCGCTTCGAGCTGGAAGGTCACTGTTTACAACTACTTACTCACAAGAGCGAACACCTTTGTCGAAATTGTGTGGTCCCGACCGAGATATGTCAAAAACTCAACGACACACTCCAGACGCCAACTAACGTGTTCGTGTTTCTTCTTCCATCCCAGGAACGCGATCATCTTCTGGTCGTGGACGTGGATCCTCTGATGATGAACTCAACTCAGACTGCTCCTCATTCGGTAGCATTGAAGATCTTGAAAGCGATTTTCGGCGAGAAGAATTATTCGAAGGCAAATTCAAGAGATTCCCAGCCAATCCCGTCAACTGGAGACCGTCGTCGAACAACCCCGGAATTCTTATCGGTAAAAATCGCATGACGGCTCCTCTAGTGCATGAGCCTCCCCCCTGGCATTCCATCTAACGGGTGACGTTGTTCTTTTTAAGGTCACATGCTATTAAAAAAACTGCCGTCTGGTCTTGGAAGTCAAGAAACTCCAGCTCAAATCCTAGGAATAAAAATTGTAGGCGGTAAAATACTCCGCAATAGTCGCAACAAGAAAACGCTCGGGGCGATAATCGAACGTGTACGAAAGGGAAGTACAGCTGATGTGGTTGGCCATCTGAAGCCCGGTGATCAAGTGCTCGAATGGAATGGGCACTCTTTACGCCAAAAGACCTATGAAGAAGTCTTCGAAATAATTCAAGCCTCCAGTCAGGATCTGCAGGTCGAACTGATCGTGAGCCGACCTTTGGTTGAGGGCGAAGAACCCATGGGATACGACCCTCGCGGCAGCAAAGATACAAGACGGCATTCTTCGGCGACTCTGTTACAGGGAGCGTCGTCCGGTTTGAAACGAAGCGATTATCTTAGAAAGACATCATCGACGACATATTTGCCACCCGCGGGTAGCCTAGGCATGGGCAGTCGACGTCGTTCAATCACGTCGATGGTATCTCTGGGTCAAGACCTCCTCGGAGGGCGAATTCAGATCAAGTTATGGTATGACGCGGCCCAGCTTCAATTGGTTGTGACTGTCGTCTGCGCTGCCGAACTGCCTCCTCGACTGGTGGCCGCAGGACCCTCGAACCCTTCGATGAATTTGACAGAACCCCGGAATCCGTACGCCAAACTATTCCTCCTGCCCGATAGGAGTGACCAGTCCAAACGAAGGACGAAAACGATCGCAGCTTCCGACGAGCCATATTGGAACCAGACTTTTATATATTCGCCATTGCGACGTTCCGATCTCATGCAACGGGCACTCGAAGTTACCGTCTGGGACTACGACCGATATGGAGCAAACGATTTCCTTGGTGAAACCATCGTGGATCTGGCCAATATCAACATCCCGTTTCAGGATGATATCAACGAAGAAGGAGAATGGTATCTTTTGTCTATGGTGAGTGTTCCTGGCCGGTCAATGGACATGACCTTTCACAAGACACATGAGTGAAAAATACTGAATGGTACTCGGGCTCAGCGATTGGGTTTGAAGAAAAACGGACAGGATTATTGATTCCATCCGGAAATTCCCTCGTCAGCAGAATTTACGTTATAATTCGGACTTTGAGATCGTCGCATGCTTCGGATTTCCTCGGTCGATCCCGAAAACGGCTCTAAGGTTATCGTCGTTTTTAATTTCCAGGAGTCCAATAGATATAGCGGTGAAGGCTTCTTATGCGGAAGCACTCATATAGGCCACTCTGCTTCGGCGAGCGTCTTGCGCCCCGCTCCGCGTTCCAGCTCGGCTATGCTGACCACAAGACAACTCATGGCCTCCTCATCCGCAAGGTGGTCAGTACTCATCGCGGTTCCTGAACTTTTCCTATTCGTTTGTCGCTCGGAAAAGCTCGCTCGAATTGATCTAATCGATTTTTCCTGCTCTCAGGTATTCGGAAGGGGAAGAGTTAAGTGAGTGGGAAGCCGCATCGCTGGATGAATATGACTCCCCAAGCATGTACCTGGATTCATCTGGTAGACAGAGAGTTGGTAGTCTCGACACGCTCAATCTTCAGTCACAGGGCTTCTCCAGACGGAGACCCTCATTCGGCGGCCGCGCTGGGCTCATGACCAGAGGGGATACATCTTTCCTCCATGCGGTCCATCCGTTAGACAGAGCTACTGGATCGTCAGGGCAACCGGACGCGTTGGGTGGCGCAGGAGGGCTACCACCGACCTCGAATACTTCGATGTCATCGACAACGGCGGCTGTCTCCGGTCACCATATACATCCTCATCATTCTCTGACGTCGAGTTTACACGGTCAGCCGCCCTCGCAGATTGCGCACCACCAAAAACATAAAGCTTCAGTTTTATTAAGAGGTTCGTGAGCTCGGTTGGCGTTGAGCTCATCGTCTCCATGCTCGAGGGCCGCCTAGCCCCTGGAAAATCTTGAACTCTCTCTTTCTGATTTCAGGTTGCTCATTAGAAGAGGACGATTATCATCATCAAAGTGGAACACTTCAGCCTTCCGCAGGAGGCTCCAATTTATCTCTCAGATCTTTATCACCTCCTAGGACTTTTCGGTACTTTTCCCCACCTCCCTCCGTCTACTACAGGATATTTCGATCCCCGACGAAGGAACAATGAGAGCATTCTGGGCTAGCTGAACCTTCCCGAAAACATCACTAAAGACTCCGGCTCACAATGCCCTGTTCCTTTTCCTTCAGATCAAATTCGCCAACGTATTCGCTGTCGCACGAGACGCTCATCGGCCAGAAGCGTCAGCTGCCTCCCATTCCCTCTGGAAGATACCAACGAGGCGATCAGAGCACTCTGGACCTCGAAGAACGAGCTCGCCAGATCAAGGCTCGGATGCGAAGGGCCTCTCGCGTAGGTGCGTGGTAGTAGATGGCTCACTCTTCTCTATCTCCTCCTCCGACCCCTCCCCGCTTGCTCTATGCTCTTGAATAAGTAGGCTCCCGGGAAAAAGAAATTCTCCCGGCGAGACCGCTCATGACAAGACCCTGCACGACTCGTCGAGCTCCACTTTTCCTCGCGGAAGTTATTCCTATACCTTTCGGCTTTCTTTTCTCGATCTCTTCCTGAACTCGCTCCTATCAACGATCCCGTCCCGGATTTCTATCTTGTCTCCTTTCCTCCTCCCGCCATCCCGTTCCGGCAGGGAACCGTTCGTTCATTTTGAAGCACACTTCCTCCGATAAAAACTCCGAGCACATAAACCAATAACGATCGATCGTGCAGGGTTATGGTCTCGCATGCTGCATGGCCAGGTCGGATTGATGTTCTCGGGGAGAAAACCGGAGCATTTTTCCACCGCTTGACCAACGGGATTGTTGAAATTCCTGTCATCCTCCCCGTCCCCACAACTGAGTTCGAGGACAAGTAGTAGCCGTCTGCGACCACAAAACTTATCGAACTTGCACGGAATTTCTTAGAGCCAGAACACTCGCAAAGGAATGAGTTGCGGGAGGTAAATGTGTGAGGAGAGAATGTTTCTGCTGGTTAGCTGCTCCCGCCGTCGCTGGACTGGCATGGACGAGTCGGAAGTGCTTCCACAGAGAGCTCTCTGCTTATGAGAACTTCGAGAAATTCCCTGGTGACTGGCGAATCTCTTCAATTTCTCTCTAATCCCGTCTGTACCATTCAGGGCCCACAAAGGGCTCCAGGAGGGGGGGGGGCATTCCATCTGAGACTAGAGCTGCATTTCCGAATTGATTTCCGCCTCCGAGATTGGAAAGGCTAAGGCTGATGATCGGACTGACTGAATGGAAGTAGAGCACTGGAGCGAGCGTCTAGAGCTGAGCTACGAAAAAAAAATCTTAGTCTCCATAGTGCTGCGAAGTCTATGCCAAGCGGCTCGTCCAATAATGGGCGACGTATATTCCAGGACCAAGCCCGGTTTACGTCTCCGACTCGGAACTGGGAGTTCAGAGCTCCTCCTCGTATTACTCCGAGAGGGAACGGGAGAGAATGGACCAGCACTATGGGGACCAGATGCGAGGCCGAGATCGCCACCGGGAGTCCTCAATGGACCGCTGGGAGAGGCGAGACTCGAGAGACCATGTACAGGGCGGAGGAGGAGGAGGAGGCGGCGGCCACCATCAGCACCATCCATCCTCGCCCCAGCACCATCGCGACGGCAGCATCTCGTCCCTCCATGGAGAACAACATGGAAGAATCGACAGATCGTCGCTTCACCGCTCGTCGTTTCAGCAGGGCGGTGGAGGGAACGGAACTCCAGACCATCACCACCACCAACAACAGCAGCAGCAACACCATCACCGACGAGAGGGATCGATTCACGAAACCTCGTCGTCGATTAGGCATCACCAGGAACATCAATCGTCACAACAATCACACCACTATCAGCAGCAACAGCAGCAGCAACACCATCACCACCAGCCCCAGCAGCAGCACCACCAGCAGCAGCAACTTCATTCGCGAGACCATCAGGACCAGGATTCGGGGCGAGCCAGAAGCCACTACGATAGTCGACGACAGTCCCACTCGCAGTACTCCCACCACCAGCAGCAGCAGCAGCAGCACCACCACCAATCCCGTGGTGGGGATTCTAGGGAGAGAGCAGAAAGCGAACGGCCAACTCACGGCGGCTCGTACTATTCGGAGCGTGGCCTGGAGTCCGACGGTTCCGAAAGCTCGGTAGTCTCAAAATTGAGCTCTACTAACCAGTCCGAAGCGCTGCATCGCGGCGCCTCAGACCGGCGGCAGAGCGGCTCGACGACGGCAGCAGATCAACACAGTAGACATCATCGGGGTCACGGGAGCGGGGGTCAGCAAGCCTCGAGGACCTTGTCGGAATTCACTCTACAGGAGAATCAATCTGGCGGTCCCGTTCACCCGTTAACTTCGTCTGGCCGAGGTTCGTCTAACGAGCTATCCTCTGTGTCCGGGACGATGGCACGAGATAGCGGCGGTCGAGAACGGCGTGAACTCACACGTCGGGCCGAGTCTGTCGAGGAGTCGACCCGAACGTCGTCTCAGTCCGTGTCCGAGACCAAGGAGGGCTCTGAGGAGGGCTCCCTCTCCGATACAACCACAGCCAACGAAGACAAACTCGGTGGGAGCTCATTCGAGATTGCTGACGTGTCCTCTTACACGTCATCGCACTATGCAAAAGCTAATCAGACATCGTCTTCGTCTTCACATCACGGTGGCCACGGTCACCACGGTCAGTCTTCACAGCAGCAGGCGGGTGGTGGGTCTGGCGGCGCCGAAAAACAACACCGTGGAGATCATCAGCAGCAGGCGTCTTCATCGCAACAGCAGCAGGCGGCCCAGCAGAGCAAAAGTAAGGGAGCGCGTTTAGGCTTCCGGAATCGACGCAAGAACAAAATCGGACGAGGAGTCCACCGTTCCGAAGAAGTTGCTCCCGACGAAGTACGTCACCTCGTTAGACAGGCAAGCAGTGTGTCCTCAGACGGAGAAGGCTCGCTATCAGGGGATTCGGCTACGACGTGGGGGGCGTCATCGGTGAGAGGCGCCTCCTCCGTTACATCGGTGGTCATTCCCCCCGGCGGCTTTGTCGAAGGCCTAGGCCCCGGCCAGCTCGTTGGCCGGCAAGCCCTAGCTAGTCCTAGTCTAGGAGACATACAAATGAGTTTCTGTGATAGGAAAGGAAATCTAGAAGTAGAAGTTATCCGGGCAAGAGGTCTACAAACCCCTCCAGGAGGTGCAAATGTCCTTCCGGCGCCCTACGTCAAGGTATATCTAGTGCGAACAGCCGGCGCTAGTACCAGTGGCGCAGGTTCGGGCTCCGGTTCAGGAGCCGCCAGAAAGGCGAATTCCAGCAGTCAGAATAATGGAAACAGCATAGTTGCTAAGGCCAAAACTACAGCAGCCCGGCGTACTCTTGATCCCCTATTCCAACAACGGCTCATTTTCCACGAGGACTACAGGGGCTGTCTTCTACAGGTGAGCTCGAGCTCTAGCTCCTAGTGGGCTTTTCTCAAGTTCGGCGAATTCGGCGATTCCCGGCCGCGTTTCGGAGAAGGACCTCTAAGCATGCAATCCCACTTTTCCAGGTGACCGTGTGGGGCGACTACGGCACGAGTAGCGGAGTAAGGCTAAAGAACGACGGGAAGGCTTTCATGGGCATGGCGCAGATCAACCTGGATGATTTAGATCTAGGGCGAATCGTAATCGGCTGGTATAAGCTGTTCCATCCGACTAGTTTGGTTAATGTTGTTGCTTCGCAGCCTGATTGATGAGTTTTTCGCCGTGATTCACGTTACCGAAAACGTTCTAGCCAAAATCGGAACAGACCACCAGTCGTCCCGATATTCAAACAAATCATACCTAACGAGTTCCGAATCAGCAGTCATCCGAACAACGCTGAGAATAAACTGAATGATACGAGTTTGGTGACGTAATCAACTCGGGCGTCTCTCACGAACGAAGACCGCCCGAGGAAACTTATCGGTGAAGTACCGACGGCCACGACGAAGTTCCGTGACCTGTGGGATTGTGATTGGGCAAGCATCCGACATCTTCGGAGTGACATGCAGAGCTGACGAGATTTTTGGCGAACTCGATCGAATGTGCATAGGAGGAAGAGCCGCGAACGTTCCTTTCGTTGCGGCGTAAAATTTCTCACCCGAACACTTGAACTCGTTCATATCCTCCTTCTCTTTCTCTGAAAATCAATCTCAACCTTTATTGATCGGCCACCGAGAAGAGATAACAAGCAGGAGCTGATCACGCTTGATCGAGAAATAGCGATCGAGAATATCAATGCACGGTGAACATGATGATCCAGAGGAAGATGATCAACAGGCGATGCGAAATCCTGTCGACATGACATGATGTTTCCGACAAAGAAACAAACAGACACACATACAAACAAGCGAACACATATAAACATACAAACAATTGAGGGCGTCGGTTTTTCGAGTTTCGACTCCGACGAACATTGTCCAAAACAACTGTTGTTATTTGTAGTTTAATTATAATTGACATTTGATGACATTGACGTCGATGATGATGATAATAATGCCGGATAAGAGATGGTGAAGTCAGCGAGGGAGACGATACAGTAACGATGATAATTTTTACTATGTAATTTATTATCGATTAAGTATAATTATTGATTATGATGATTGATTCTTATTGATGATGATGGAAACAACCGAAACAATAATCACCATGGGAACGATAAGCGAAGGAATGACGGACACGAACACGATGATGATGATCATAACGAAGTCCAAACGAGGAAAGCAGTAGCAGCATAAGGAGCAACGCTGATTCAACGATTGCCAATCGTCATTTGAGTGAGTCGTTGGCGGTCGAATTCGATGACGATCCCTCTTGTGGCGTTCTACTACTACTAATACTACTACTTCTGATACAACTACTACTCGTACTGCTGCGTACGTCATACATAAATACGTGCGTGAGTATTACTGTATTTTGCGACACAACAGGAATGATGCAGCAGCAGCACGACCAGCAGCAGCACCTCCTCTGAGAAACATAAGGATATATGCTTTTGACATTTGGATGCCATCGGCGGGGCAGATTCCATGGGTTGAAGTCACGTTTTTATGTCAACTCTGCTCCATTCATCTCATGAGAAACAAACTCATGTAAAATAAACTCACTCTTTTTTGTCAATATAAACAGAAAGAGAGGTCGGTTTTTTCCCTGGAGCCGAACTCGGTTTCCACCATCAGGAGACGGATTTGAAGGGATCACGGCAGGAGGATTTGGATCTCGGTGCTTCATACGGCATGGAGAACTCATTCGGTCAGGGGGAGGAAGTCTCACTTGTCTCTGTTCTCCAGGCTGAAGATGTGTGGTAGACCTGTAAGTGTGTGGTACAGGGGGAGTCCGCGGAAGCTGGTCCTGGGAAAGGCTCTGCCACTTTCCATCATTGTGAAATTGCAATCTCTGCGTGGCACAAATGTGTTCGACACTTTGAGGGTTCACGAGGAAGTCGCACTTTCTGCTCTCCAGGAAGTGCGAGGTGCACTTGAGGCATCCGATGGGATCCAGAATGGCTGCCTCCGAGACCCTTCGTAAGAGGGGACAGTGAACCACAATACCTACTCGGGCGAGGAGGAGTTTCCAAAGCGGGAACGGTGATTTCCTGCGTCAAGACAGCCTGAAGTTCGTTGGAGCTTCGAAATCCGCTCTCTTGAGCCTCGGTTGTGTGAGTTTTCGATTCGCTGAACGCCGATGTAGAGTCCAGAGCTGTAAACCTCTCTTAGCGGAATCAACAGGAATCGCATCTTGGAAGTTTTCGGATGCAAAGGTGAGATGCTCCGTGAGAAAAAGCGATCGGGATCGCAATCGGTGCCCTCCTAGACAGAATTATTCGGAGAACGCGCCGCCGACAGCCGAACGAGGCAAGATCGGTAGACGACCGAGCCAGGAGTTCCTGAATGGCGGGTTCGTGACCTTTCTGTAATTTCCAATTCATCCGAATCAATGCGCGGTCTCTGATTGAACGTTGCTCGACTGGCTCTTGGCAATGCCTGTCGCCAGAGCTCCGATGGGGATACCTTTATCCGCAGGAGAGCACCAATTACGACTCGGAAACCGTACCCCTATGAAGCTCGAAAAGGGGTCCGGAAACTTCCGAGTGACAGATCCGCGAAGAGAAGACGAGTCGTCGGCGTTCCGCCAAGCTAATCGGCGAACTCAGAAGGGCTACGATTCTCTAGATGGGAATGACGGAAGAATCCCCGTACTCCGGAAACTTCTGTTCGACTTTTCACTCAGCAGCTCTCATCGCCTCCTGATTTCAGCAGGGGCGTATCATCGACGAATCCGCGATGGAGAGGCTGAAACTGATATTTTCATCAGCGAACGGAATTCTCTCCGTCAGGAGACCCGGTAACCTGGAAATTTCCCCATATACAACGAGAATGCTTAGATCGAACGCATCCGCAAGTGAGTATGTTTCACGTGAACTCGGATCGTCTTCCCTACTGAGCAGCACGGGCGACTCATATCTCACGCCATAATGTTTTTCCCGCGAACATACCAGGAACAGACACTTCTCTCGACGAGTCTTCCGAGAAGTGTGCATCAGTTGACCATCCGCGAGATCGAGGAGCTTCCGCAAAGAGCTTTGATAGAGAGGCGAAGCGATTCCCCTCGTTTGGAGACGGTCTCATGTGGAACGAGAGCTGCGACACGAGACGTGAGACGACAGGGGCAGCCGGACCACAGAAGCGTCAGAGACGCACACAGATTCCTCGACGCCAAGACGGGAGACACCCCTCTCTCACTCGCATGGTGGTTCGTGTCCGACACCCTTTAGCTTGGGAAGATCACTGCAGGTATTATACATATCTGCAAGAAATACAATGTACATGAGTGTGAAATGACTCAACAGACGATGGCCGATGGATTTGCAGATAACGACGCATACCGTCATGGAGACTCCCCGGAATCCTGGCTTGGAGGCCTATCGCGCGGCGGACGGTCTGTGGGCGGGGTTGATTCGGAAAATTCAAAGGAGGCGTCGAGGACGCTCTGCACGTTATCAGCTCAAGAAACACTGGAAGCACATAAAACGTCTACATCATCATGCGCGACGGGTCGTTACTACAAATACGCAGGGACAATCCCGTGCCGCAGGTTGACTTGGCAGAAGACTCTCCCCAATGACTATGAGCGATGTCTACTTGTAGCTGGACCTATGTTTGATCGCCTCGAGAGACCTTCCGACGAAGACGGTTCCTCCGGGAATGATCTCGGCCTACTGTTCTTTACACGTTCCTTTCCCGCATAAGGATATTGAAATAAATTCACTCAAATTTCACAGGAGGCTTCGTGAATAGCTCATCATTCGCGAATCAAGCATTGATCGCCGACCGACATCGCCAAAAATATGGATACTTTCTGATTCGGTTAAATGAAGCAGGCACAACAGTCCGAGGCTTTTTTTCTGCTTCCCATGCGCAGTAATCTCTACATTCTCTCAGGAGTCTCCGAAAAGGGGATACGCTGAGGACCCCATCAGACGGGAGGGTAATGTGCGAAGGATGCTCGGTCGGCACCAGGATGGCCTGGGAGAACGCGCCGTAACTCGATGGAAACATAATGAAATGTGCATGAATGTACGCGGAGTCTCCCGGCTCCGATCAGCTAGCAATTGATCTGTTCGATCGTTTCACGTTGCCCGGCCTCATATCGCCTCGCTTGAGCGGCTGTGGATCCTCATCGAGTACATATTAGGCCTAGCAAAAAGCCGCAAATTCTCAGAACCGATGTCGGAGGTACGGCTTCGAGGAATCTCCGGCCTATATTGAGGAGATCGCCTCGACCACCACCCGCTCGGTAGAGAGCGAATTCTCTCCTCAGATTTGCTTTGCTGCGGACTTCAGAGCCTTCGTCGAGGGCAGCTGTAGTTGAGGGGCTGGAGAATATATTCTCCCAAGATACAGACGCCTGGAAAAGAAGGAGTTCATGCATGGAGACATGTCATGGGTCGAGCAAGCTACGGTACATTACAGTCGTTATGCAGGGTCAACTCACTACGGATGCTCCGCGATAAGGACGGAGCATCCGAGCTCTTAGTCCTCGATTTCGGAGGACTAAGAGCTTCCTTCAAGACCAGGAGCATCCTCCAAGACATGGAGAATTCCTCTGTCTGATGGTCTCTCCTGACCGATCTTCTCCTCCAACGCGAAGTCGTAATCCCACTTTTCCAGCACAGCCAAGGCGCTCGAAAGGATGCTTCTCCTCTTCGCTATCTCTGCCGTCAGGTTCTCGTGGAGCGTGCCGGCCAGCTCAGATCTTGATTCACGAACATCTCTGAGCAGGAGGAGGAACACCTTATCGACGTGCGATAGCGTAGCCTCCCCTTTGCCCAGGAGGAGAATCGCTCGCTTGAAAGGCGCCAGTACTCCAGCAATTTCGTCTAGGGCATAGGAATCTTGCGCGGCGATGGTTGTACCATGCCTTGAGATAACCTTGTTCAGCGCGGGAAGAATGCGGACAGCTCTTTCAATCATGAGGAGAGTGGAGTACCACCTTGTGCGTCAGTCCAAGATCGGTCGCAGTTCCCGACCGTTGTACTCAGCCCTCTCGGTCACCCTTCTGATCTCGTCCATCATATTCGGTCACTTCCTAAAATTACGGGCCGTTCGACGCGAACGCTCCACGTTTTCGCCGACGGAGACGACCACAGCATCCTGAGGCGGCTCCGATTCTTGCACCGACTCACGCTGGAACTCTTCGTCCGACTCATCCT